TTCAGCAGGGTTGGGCCCTGGGCGATATTTCGATGGGAGACCAGGGTTACGAGGCAGAAGCAGGCCATGGCAAACTGCCTTTGAACACCTCTTGCCTTTAAAACATTACGGGGTCACAATAAGTCAGCTGCGACTTGATGCCACTTTCAGCCACTGCCCACCATTATAGGTATGTTTCAGTAAATGGGGCAGACCATGTATTTTGTCTGTCCGGCCACGAGGGAAAGCTGGGAATCATGGCTGCAAAACGAAGGCAGGGGCATGTTTTTAGAATGAACAAAATCGTAAAAAGGTAGAATAAAATAGCAAGAAGGTAAAAAAACCCCAAACCCACACTTTGTTGCCAGGTAAGATTTCCTTAGCCCAGAGGACCAACCGACAGTACGCTAAAAAGTCAAAGGCTTGTTCTGGATCCCTTGGCCACAGGCTGCGAGTCATGGGCTATACACCAAGGGCCCTTTGCCCCTTTCCAGAATTCTCATGCCTCTGGCCACATCCAAGCTTGTGGACCTGCAACAGGAAGGCAAAGAGAAGCTCAGCTTGGCAGAGAGGTTCCCAACATCCCTGCCTTGCTGAAGGAGCCTCTGGCCCTACGCAGTCTTCATATACTCGCAACAGAGGGGGAAACAAGGTCAGCCTAGATGTAGTACAGCTGGCAGGCATTCCCAAGAATGGGGAAGCGAGGTATTTTTCTCCCTCACAATTAGTTGCATGTCGGTCAGGGGTTTCTTTGAGTATGAAGCTGTTGCCAAGCAAGCCGCTGCTTTAGCCACAGTGTCTCCAGTGGCAGAGAGGATCGAGCTGTCAATGTGAGATAGGTTCACGTCAGTCAAATCCAGAAGGATAACTGCGGGTGTGTTCAGATGCGCCGTTTGATCTGGTGTCAACATCTGCCTCCCGTCCCCAGCCGTTGTTTTCCGGCTCAAAACCCCTTTAACCCGGAGTATTTTGTTACCAGGTCCCAAAGTGGTGTTTTCTCAGCTCTCCCGTTTAAAGCCGCATTTTCCCCCTGTGTGATCACTCCTCCGGTGTCAAGACACTTCCGGTTTAAACCCCCTCCCCGCTCAAAAGCTGCCCGAGGCATCCGCTTTTCGCCCGCCATTTTTTTTGCGTTGGCAGAGCTCCGCTACCGTGTTTAGATAACCGACATTTAAACGGTCACTTGTTTTAGAGTTTAGATGAGTTTGGGATCTCACAGAGGCCATTTGCGGGTCAAATGCTTAAAGGGAAGTCTTTTGTTGGAGGGGTTGGATTGATTTGCCCTGGTGGTTCTGCGCATGCGCCATGGTAGTTTTGCCTCCCCATTCTACGGATGAGCGCCTATGCGCATGCGCAAACTGAGGAAAAAATTTAAAACCCTGCCAACACATGCTCCCACGCGTCAGTACTGTAGCTGCCGGGGAGCGACGTGACTGCGCGGTGAGGCGGGATAAGGGAGGCCGGAGCAGTTTAACCCGCTCTCAGCACACCGTCTGACCGCACCCTGTGTGTGTCTTCCCCCCGCCTTCTAGTAAATCTCATCTGTGCCAGGGAAGTAACTGCGTATGGGCGTTTCAGCCATTTGTTCCCAACTTCCTTCTACCAACACATCAAGATGCACAAGAGGATTCTGGGGCACTTATCGTCCGTGTATTGTGTCGCATTTGATCGCAGCGGGCGGCGAATTTTCACAGTGAGTCAACTTGGGTTTTGTTCTTGGAATGCCACCACTCTGTTTCCTACCGAGAAAAAAAGAAGGAATGTGCCCTTGAAGAAGGCAATACAGGAGTCTTATATAATTTACGGTCCGTTCTCGAGAATTACCGCTTTTTCAAAAGGGACATTCGTGTGTTGTTATAAGCGGAGTTACACCCTCTACGTCCACTGAAATGACTGTGTTTCGAAACATGGAAATGTTTAAGATGACACTGTCAGTGTCTGATTTTTTTGTTTTTTTCCTGACATACACTTTCAAACTATATCTCAACAGAGTTACACCCTCTGCGTCCACTGAAATGGCTGTGTTTCGAAACATGGAACTGTTTAGGATGGCACTGTCAGTGTCTGATTTTTTTGTTTCTTTCTGACATACACTTTCAAACTATATCTCAACTTATGCCAGAGGAGCTGGTAGTTCTCTCTGTGCAAATCCACTCCTGTGTTCTAAATGGCCTAATATACAGTAGTTTATTCATTTACGTTCATTATTTATACCCAAAGGGGGCCCATAGTGGCTTGCCTGATTCTGCTCTCCTTATACCCAGCAAGCTTTCATGGCAGAGTGGAGATTAGAACCTGGGTCTCCCAGATCTTAGTCTAACCTAGTCTAATGGAGTAGAGGTCCATCAGTGGCTATTAGCCACAAGGTATAGATAGGAACTCTCAGTCTGGGGCAAGTGACGCACTGTATTCTTGGTGCTTGGGGGGCGGCAACAGTGGGAGGGCTTCTAGTGTCCTGGCCCCACTGGTGGACCTCCTGATGGCACCTGTGTGACAGAGTGTTGGACTGGATGGGCCATTGGTCTGATCCAACATTGGCTTCTCTCATGTTCTTAACCTCTGCACATACTGTCAGCATTTTTGAATACCAGGATACGGGGGAGGAAAGAACCACATATTTTGGCTCTGAGCTCCGTATAGGAAGAGTAGGATAAAATTGTGATAAGTGTATGCTGCATATCTGCATGCTGATAGCGAAAATGGCGACACTCCTGCTTGTTCCACCTTGGATTGTGTTTTTTAATGACTCTCTAGGGCTCCGATGATTGCTTGGTGAAAATCTGGGCTACAGATGATGGGCGTCTGCTCTCAACACTCCGAGGCCATTCAGCCGAAATTTCTGACATGGCCGTCAACTATGAAAATACACTACTCGCTGCAGGCAGCTGCGACAAGGTGGTCCGAGTCTGGTGTCTCCGAACGTGCGCGCCTGTCGCGGTGCTGCTGGGCCACTCAGCTTCCATTACTTCCATACAGGTATGGCAGGCAGCTGGCATTCCGTTGGGTTCAGTAGCTGATCAGCAGCAAGGCACAGACCTACTTCTATCTGATCACATGCTGGATCAGTTCCTTGGAAAGCTAGTGATCCCAGACTCCTTCCAGTGAGCCTTACATTTCCAGCTGTGCTTTTTTATCACACCCAGAGGCACCCAAGGCAGGCCTCCCTGGGTCATGCTTGATTGCTGCCCATGTGGCAAATCCACAGCAGGGTGGTGGGTGTTATGCTTTATAAAAGTCTGAGGAACTCATGCAGCCTACTTAACAATAACCTGTTTTTAAATTTTTAGTTTTCTCCAGCCAGAAAAGGAACAACTCGATACCTCACTTCTACTGGTGCTGACGGAACAATCTGCTTCTGGCAATGGCATTTGAACACAATGAAATTCAAGTAGGTACCTACTTGTGGATGTGCCATTCATCCCCTTCCTTAGGTCATCTTATTGAGTACCGTACTCCCTGAAACACAGAGATGAATGGGATAAGCTTACATATGCTAATTTTGGAGTGGGCAAATGCTAAGAGCATATTCCCTTCCGTTTGTTTTTTTTAATTAAAATTTTGGATGGGGAACATGGATCAGTGGGACTGTAACAACAGTCATCTGACCAATGAAGTATTATATGGAAAACTGAATGCTAAATATGCCGTCTGTTTAAACGCTTATGCTAAATGTTTTAATACTGAATTTTTGTAGTTTTAACTGGTTTTAAAATTGTATTAGATTTTATGTTGTTGTAAACCGCCCTGAGCCCTGCATAAGTGGAGAAGGGCGGTTAAGAAATCAAATGAAATAAATAAATAAATAAATGGGTGTTTTTCTATGGTGGGGCTCAAGAAGGTAATCCTATCATGGTATCATGGTAGATCTAGGTAGGCAGCTGCATTAGTCTGTTGCTGCAAAATCACATGGGAATTCAGTGGCACCTTAGAGACTAACAAAATTTATTCCAGCATCAGTTTCCCATGAGTCACTGCTCGCTTGGTCAGATGTACGAATTGCGTATCCATCTGCTGGATTGACCACGCATCAGGTGAAGCAAGCTCTGACTTGCAAAAGTTGATGCTGGAATACATTTTGTCAGACTTGGAGGTGCCACTGGACTCCTGATTCATTCAGACTATCATGCAGTTTGACTTATCTGACATTTGGAGGATCTGTCCATCGGAGATTCAGACAGTGAATGGGATGTCCTAATCTTGAAGGTTACGCCTAGGGCTTTTGTTCAACCTGAAGATTGTTTGTTTTAGATGGCTACAGGTGAATAGGAAGAGGTGGGCACTAATCTGACTGAGACAGTTGATACAATTTGCTGGCAATTCTCTCTGAAGCTTTTTTTTTGTTAGAGGTGTTGCTTTTGTGTTCAGTACATGCTGTAGATCTGGGAACTGGAAAGTGTTATCTGTGGTTCCTTCTGTTTTACAAGCTGTAATTTCTCAGTTTTAAATATCAGCATTCAAGAGTTTGCTGCCTCTGTAAAGAAATCCATAGACGCAAATACCATTGATGTTAACTGGAGGTCAGACTATTGCAGGCACTGTTTCTGGTTGGCTTTGTTTTTTATTGACTGTTGCAAATTAGGGGCATGCTGTCAATTTTTTCTTTTACAAAATGATGATCTTACGAGGGAGGGAGGGAGGGAGGGAGGGAGGGGTGATTTTCCCAGCATGTTAGGAACCATAATTGCATTCTGCAGGTTGTTGCAGGATGCAGCTGCAAGACCTGCTGCAAATATGAATTGTTTCTTTGTGGGCTACACTAAACCTTACACCTTTTTGCTACGTATTATTTCAGGGATCGGCCAGTTAAATTTGCTGAAAGATCAAGACCTGGCGTTCAGATATCTTGTTCATCTTTCAGCTCGGGTATGTACATGTTTCCCAGGAACAGAAATTACCTGCTGCTTATGTAAGAAAGATTGTTTCATGTTTTTGTAAGACCTACCAGTGATTTTGGAAAACAGCAAACAACTGAATTTTCTGGGAACACGGCCGTCTTGTAAAAGTTTCTAAGCGGAACCAGTATGAATTGATAAAAATGCCTAGTAAGTTATTGGGAGATAGGAAACTCACTTGATCGCTTTTAGGAAAGGCAATAGGTGGAAGGGTCAGGATTCAAACAACGGAGTACACGCTTCCAAGAAGGTTATACTTTATTGCTAGAACTATGGTTGCAGGAACATGTTCACTGTTAGGAATAACTAATACATGGCAAGCATCAAGAGATATAGTGCATTCAAACCAGCCCCCCCCCCACCCCAATTGGCCTGACGTCCGGGCGGGAAGGAAACCCCAGAACAGTTAGAGCAAACGAAACTAGTCTAACGATTAATTAATGGGGAGACACTACATAGGCAAGACTACAAGGTCAGAGATAAAGAAGGCAGGAGCAGGGAAAGGAATGTGGCATCCACTGGTACACAGGTCATGCATGCGAACCTGCAGCTATAAACAATATGGCAGCGTAGCTGGCAATCTTCAGATCAGTATTAACCAGTGTTCCCTCTAAGCTGAGATAGTGTGAGCTAGCTCACAGTTTTTTAGCCTCTGGCTCACCCATTTTTGTCTCAGCTCAGGAAGGGGGGCTCCAGAGCAAACTAATTTATGCAGTAGCCAAATCGTTTGCTCACAACTTTAAAGCCAGTAGCTCACAAAGTAGAAGTTTTGCTCACAAGACTCCGCAGCTTAGAGGGAACATTGGTATTAACCCTTTGTAGTAAATGGTTGCCAGTCTCCAGGTGGGGCCTGGAGATTGGCTGTTACATCTGGTCTTCAGATGACAGAGGATCAGTTCCCCTGGAGAAAACGGCTGCTTTGGAAGGTGGACTCCATGGCCTTGTACCCTGCTGAGGTCCCTCCCCTCCCTAAACCATCCCCAGGCTCCATTCTCAAAATCTCCAGACATTCTCCACCCAGAGCTGGCAACCCTATAGAGCTATGTTCCCTCTAAGCTGAGTTAGCGTGAGCTAGCTCACATTTTTTAAGCCTCCAGGTCACACCTTTTTGTCTTAGCTCAGGAAGGATGTCTCCAGAGCAAACTAATTGATGCAGTAACCAAATCGCTCACTCACCACTTTAATGTCAGTAGCTCAAAAAGTAGAATTTTTGCTCATAAGACTCCACAGCTTAGAGGGAGCATTGCTATATAGTACCTCGTTACTGAATGGCTTTTGATGAGCATACCTGAAGGGCTGCCTGCTCCTTCTGAACCTACCCAACCAAAAGCAATTCTAAACATAATTGTTCCTGTCCAAGTTCATTGAATCCTATAGACTTTGCCCAGAGTAACTCTGCATATGATTGCACTGTTAAGAGTATTTGGGCCTGGTGTCCAAAGCTCAATGTACTGTGCTCCAGACATAGGAAGTTCCATCATTTAGGTGCCTGTTCCCTCTAAGCTGAGTTAGTGTGAGCTAGCCCACAGTTTTTTAGCCTCCAGCTGACAGATTTTTCTCTTAGCTCAGGAAGGATGGCTTTGGAGCAAACTAATTTATGCAATAGCCAAATCGCTCACTCACAACTTTAATGCCAGGAGCTCACAAGGTAGAATTTTTTGCTCACAAGACTCCACAGCTTAGAGGGAGCATTGGTGCCACCACAGAAAAGAGCCTGTTTGGTGTAGTGGTTAAGTGCGCGGACTCTAATCTGGAAGAACCAGATTTGATTCCCCACTCCTCCACTTGCAGCTGCTGGATGACCTTGGGCAAGCCATAGTTCTGTCAGAGCTTTTCTCTCAAGGGCACCTCTGGAAAGAGCTCTCTCAGCCCCGCCCACCTCACAGGGTATCTGTTGTGGGGAGGGGAAGGGAAAGGCGTTTGTAAGCCGCTTTGAGACTCCGAGTGAAGAGTGGGGTATAAATCCAATCTCTTCTCTTCTTCTTCTTCTCTTACATCTGGTAAATACTTGCTTCCACTCTAGTGGGAGGCCACACAGAGAAGGGCCCGGGTGGAAGATCCTAACTGGGAGGGGTGGGTGTCTGCAGGGGTCCACTAGCTCCAGGATAACCTTTGGGATAAATGTATGCATCTTAAATATTTTGTTTTCTCAGCATAGTTCATATTATTAATTATAAATTTAATTTTGAATTATTTAAGTACTTTAAACCTTTTTATACCACTTCTCCATGGAAGATCCTAACTGGGAGGGGTGGGTGTCTGCAGGGGTCCACTAGCTCCAGGATAACCTTTGGGATAAATGTATGCATCTTAAATATTTTGTTTTCTCAGCATAGTTCATATTATTAATTATAAATTTAATTTTGAATTATTTAAGTACTTTAAACCTTTTTATACCACTTCTCCAATGTTTTATTTCCCCAAATGGTTTCCAGAATTAATACAAAAGTCACCATCAATATCAGAGTAATTAAACAACAAAATGGCACATCAAATATCAAACAGTTAAAAACAGCTTATCAAATAGTGTAAAAACGTCAAAACACATTGGAGAAAAAGCCCAGAATATCAGCCAAAGAATAAAACTGCCTACCAGAAGGCTGTAATAAAGCTTCCTTTTCAGTAAAAGAATTCAGAGTCAAAACTGAGAAGCCCGCTAATGGAACTTAGGATGGAAGATATTAACATGCCAGCACCAGTGCCCCAAGATATATGTCTCCTACTGTTACGGGGGTTCCCAGTGGTCTCCTATCCAGACTGCTGATCAGAAATCATACCTGCTTAGTTCCAGGCAATGCTGATTTCCCAGACCATTCACTGCAGCCCCAAAGCAAGTTTGATGAGAGACATTACCACTTTTAATGATCAAAGGTCCATCCAAAACATAAAAGTTCTCAAAGTGTCCAGCTTTCCCAGAAGGAAAAATGTGTTACAAAATTCCCCTGAAATGTTTATTTTAAAACGAGTGATTATTGTATAAACAGAATAATGCTCATGGAATTAAAAGTTTTTAAAGTTGTTAATTTCAAACTCTTACAAATTAATTATAAGTTATTCTACAACAGGAAATGAATTTAACATTCTTTAATAATATTCTTCTACAAGTTGCCAATTCTATTCTGCTTCATTTGTAAATTATAATCATTAATTAAGTCCGATAGAAATTGGCACACCTAAGTAAATATTTCTGCCTCTCAAAATTACTCCAGTACAAATGCAATTATAAACTCTATCTCCCATAATTTCCCTTTGGGTCTCCTTATGTTTATAACCATATATTCTGTATATATTTCATATCAAAATCAATATGATAAAATGCATTATAATAAAGTAAGATAGAAAGTAAGGTAAGGAAGAAATATATTCCTCCATTTCGTTACTCTGGTCTCTTAAAATCTTTTACTAAATTTATTTATTATTTATTTATTTATTTATTAAACTTATATCCTGCCCTCCCCCGTAGGGCTCAGGGCGGCTTACATGGCAAGAAATCTTGCGTAATAAAACATCAAATAATTAGTAGCATTTAAGAACATTTTATGCAATTTAAAACCATCTCAATAAAATAAAATAAAGTGCTCAAAAACCTTAATTCCGGAACCTCAGAGAGATGTAAGACTTTTATGTCATTTGAACAGGATCTCCTATAGCAACCAGAGGGGGGAAATAAAAGGGTAACCACGAGTCTTATAGCACCTCAAAAGCTACTAAATTAATGTGCGAGTATGCCGGCCACATGACCACGGAAACGACTTTGGACAGCGCTGGATCTTCGGCTTTGAAACGGAGATGAGCACCACAACCCTAGAGTCGGATTCGACTGGCTTTTGAGCAAGGGAACCTTTACCTTTAAGCTTTTGTGAGCTCCCTTTGAGCTCTAGCTCACAAAAGCTTATGTTACAGTATATTCATCTTTAACATGCCACAAGCCTCATGTTTTGGCTGTAGCAAATCTAAAGATGATACATGAAAGTAATCAAATCTATTTTGGCGAAAAATATTATGGTGTGTGTTAAGTGCAGTCAAGTTGCTTGCGGCCTACGGTGACCTATTGTTGACAGCCTTGCCCAGGTCTTGCAAACTGGGGCTTTCTTTCTTGAGTCCATCCATCTTATCATTGGGTATAGCTGCTCTTTACTCCTTCTGCAAAGAATGTTTTGCTGTAAAGAACTTTCCAAGAATGTGTTTGGATTTGGACAGAAGCCGTATAGCCACAGACGCTGTGGCCAAGAGGCATGGCACTGTGAGCTGTTGTTATGGTTATGTGGGGTTGTGTGCAGATCAGCACATGGAAGGGGTCAGGAAGGAGGAGGAGCAGCCCTCAGAGACATGAAAACCTGAAAAAACAAACAAAACCCAAACATGGGGAACTGAGGATGGGGAACCAGCTTTCAACCCATTGGAAAAACTGGGATTTTGAAGTAAACGGGGGTGGGTGGGGGAATACCTCTTGTGTGATGTTCTCTCTTTTGTTGTTCAGTCGCACAGTCGAGTCTGACTCTTCTCTCTTTTAGAATTATGCTAATTGCCTTTAAGGCAGGACTTCACAATAATGTTTTAGCTGCCCTTTACTTCTTCAAAATACTTTCTAATAACTGTCAATATGTAAAACAGTCTATAGTGCTGGGTAATTCCAATTCCAGATAGACACATGCAGCTCTTCCAATTCCAGATAGACACAGGCTTGCTCCACATTCCTCCCATCTTCTGCAGCATGTTGACAAACCTGATCAATGTTTGGAAAGGTGTACAGACCAAGTCCAAGAAACAAGCTTTCATGGGAAGTGGTAGAGAAGCTTGTTTCTATCCAGGCAAATCTTTCACCCTGTTGTGAAAACTGAATGTTGAGAACCAGAGACTGCAGATCTTTCAGAAACCTATTCTCATTAGAGAAATGATCTTGGTGTCAGTGTTTCCAACAGTATACATTACTTTAAATGATTATGGATTTTTCTACAACTAGTTTTGTTT